TGTGTGCGTGTGTGTGTGTGTGTGTGTGTGTGTGTGTGTGTGAGAGAGAGAGAGAGAGAGAGAGAGAGAGAGAGAGAGAGAGATGAAAATGTTGTAAATGCTCCTTAATTTAAGAAAGAGTGATGTAAACATGAGATGGAAGAAAATTATTTATGGAAATAAAACTTAATTCAAGAAAACTTATTCCAATTATTAGTAATTGGAATAAGTTTTCTTGAATCATTTGAAAAAGCAATCAATGAGATAATTCCAGAGTAATATTTAAAACAATTCCAAATTTGGGGAGGGGCTAGGACATTAGTACAGTCTAACAAAATGAGAGATAAAGTTTTTTTTATAGATACAGAGCATTATAAAAGCACACATACACACACATGCATGCAAAGAAAACATTACAAATAAAATTATATAATTCTCCATCCATCCGTACAAGAGATACATATATTGAACATGCCAAAGTGAAAGGCAGGGTCTAGATCCACAAGAGTGGACAGGCCTCCGAATGAAGCACATATGAATGAAGCACAGAAACTCGAAATCACGTAAGTATTAGTGACATCCGCAGAGAAGTAAGAGAACACAGCAATCAAACGTGGAAGCCAAGCTCCTTGTAGCTGAACGACTTCTCTAGCCAAAAGACAAGAAGTGGGGAAGGATTCCACCCCAAACCACAACCTTCCAGACGCCATCTCCCTCCTGGATAGGGAATTCCGGGGGAACAGGGAGAAGGGGCAGCAAAAGTGGGGGCCTGGGTGAGCGTTAGCACTGGCTATGAGATGCTCCAGGGCATCTCTGCGGAGGGAGAGGCTGGACTCTGTTAAAGTGCCAGCCCCACAGCTGACTGGCTACGTGACTCCGACCACGTCCAGCACAGAGATGACAATATTAGCTCATTTGGGACGGTAGTGTCGGCAGCATAAAATGAGGACAACAGAAGGCCAGGCAAACGGTCTGAGCGGTTCCTACTCCCACCGTCTCCAGAAGTCTGTGTCTGGTCTATGTAAAACAGTCATAATGAGGCTTTTACGAACCAAGTCCCAGTATAGCTCTAAAGATCAAATAAATATTATTGAAAAGCCTACATAAGGCAGAAGATTAAATTGATTTCTCATCCCTTTTTTTCTATGGGGCCAGGATCACCTGTTTTTCACAAACAGTAACGTTACAAAGAAAACAAAATGGTTCTAATAAAGATCCTTGGCTCCCTTGTTTTTGGCATGCAAATAGATGTCAAGTGTGACCACAGGGGTGCTATCTCTCCGCTAACCACTAGGGGGAGTGGGTTTCTAGAGCGCATGTTCCAGGGGGCATCAAGCCCGACCTTGAAATCTGTCTCAAAAGGCAGCGTTTCAAATACTCCGTGCTGCAGCTGGTAAGGTGGTTCGGTGGGGAAAGATGCTGGCACAGAGACTGATGAGCTGAATTAGATCCACAAGAACCACATGGTTCCAGGAGAGAACGAACTCTGGAAAGACCTCCACACTCTCCATGGGGCAAATGCAAAAACATGCACACGATTAAATAGTCAAAAAAATCTTTAGTAAATACTCTTGAGTTGTTTAGTAAGCACAGCATTGGAACATTTAGGAATTTCTTCCAGGCTCGCTTCCAGGCAAGCGCATGTTCATGTCTGTGAGTTCAAGCACGCATGTGCCACAGCCTGTGAGTGGTGATCTGGGGACAACTCAGTGTGTCGGTCCTTTCTCCATCTTGTCGGACACTAGGGCTCCGGTTCGCTACTGTACGTGCCAGGCAGCTGGCTGCCAGCCTCTGGGACGGCTCCTATGCCTTCCTCCCTTTTCACGTAAGGAGCACGGGGAAGACGGGCAGATGCCACTTCCCTCAGCTTCGAAAGGGTGCCGGGAACTAAATCCAGGCTTGGACAGAAAGGGCTCCACTCACTGAGCCACTTCCCCAGCACTCCCTTCTTATTTCCCTTCCCTCCCTCTCTCTTTTCCTTCCTTCCTTCCTTTCTGACTTCCAGACTCTTAGGGACTGGAGATTCTGAATCTAGCCCCAGCCCAGATTATAAATCATTATGGCCCAACTAAGTGAGTGTCACCTTCATGCCATTTTGGATAAATACAGGCTAAGGTTCTACCGCCCAGCTCTATTTTTCAGTATGCTGTCAGCAAAGGAATCAGGCCTCACAACATTACAGTATGACCGACAAGGTTACGGTACTGAGGTTATCGCTCATCTTAGGATAATTACATTTTTGACTGGTGGCTCCCTGATGCGATTTTGTTTTCAGGAAGAGTTCCACAGACGGCTAATCCTATCAAAGTTGTTCTGACTCATGCGAGCTCAAGTCTGTAATGATATTTTGATATTTGTCTTGTGCTCTTGGGGGCGGGGTAATTACGGCTTACTGAATCTTCTTGTTCCTTAAACTCAAATGCTAACTGCCTTCACCCCAGCCGTCAGGCTACAGACGCTGTGAGTTCTGTTTTATATATGACCATTCGGAGTGGGGGAGGGGAGCAGAGGGAAGAGGGGAGGGGATGGCAGGGGATGGGGAGGGAATCAAGGATGGTGTAAACACAGTGACAGTTCTTCATCTTCATGTGTGTTCCAAATAATTCCCTCTGTCTCTGACACAGGATTCATATTCTGTCCGTCCTTCGCCCCCCCCCCCCCTCTGCCCAGGGCAAACACTCTATCATTGAGCTATAGCCCCAGCCTGGGCAGGGTTCTTTTATCTTTTTACTATCCAAATAGTGAATGAATTAATGCAGAGAAGACCTTGTAGCAAACAGAACTTGACAATGCTTTTCTTAGGTTCTGGAACCACAAGATGGTGGGTCTTACTATTCCGTTCATCAGAAGCTCTAGCTGCAAAGTTCACTTTTGAGCTTCCTAACTTGAACACTGATTAAAAGTGATTGGCATCCCCGGGCATGGTGGAACACCTCTATAATCCTGTCACTCCGGGACGATGAGACAGATCTCAAGTTGGAGGTCAAGCTGAGCTCTGCGTAGTGAGATCCTATCCCCAAACTACGACAAAACAAAGACTAATAACTCCATAATCATTTACATTTAAAATAATGAATTCACTGGAACCATTTTTCAGGGGTTTTGTTGTTGTTGTTGTTGTTGTTGTTGTTGTTGTTGTTTTTGTCATTCATCCATTCATTCAAAAGCATCTTTTATTGAGTGTCTACTTTACACAGGCTCTATTCAGGATCTCAGAAATCAATAAACAAGACCTGGAAGTTTGGACTTTCAGACTTATAGTTATTGAGACAGAACACATCAAATAACTTGAGGTTGACATTTTCCAAAGGAGATTTTCTTTTACCTGTCCAGCATCTTGGTGCTGGCTCGTTCCAGCTTCTCTAGGATCTGAGGGAGTTGGGTGTCATCGTCATATGAACCTCCCCAGCCAAGAACTCGAGCAAGGTCATTGCCTGTACCCAAAGGCAATACCCCAAGCTGGCACTGCAAAAGGACGCAACAGTGATACTCTGAGAGAAGTTGGGAGACAAGGACCCGGGTTCGAGGCTAGCTTAAGCTACACAGCAAGACCCCAACACCCCAGTGAGCACTTGCCTGTTTATTCAAGTTCAGTTTATCGATCTCTGACAAGACCCAGCCTACACTTCCATCTCCTCCACAGACAAGAATCCGGAAGTTGTCAAACTTCTGAAATAACCTTAAGCTGAAAGTAAAATGTCTATTTTTAGTGTAAATACATAAAAAAAACACTTTCTCCAACTACTGTTCATTTTATAGTCATTATTAACACATTCATATTGAATATAAGAATTCTTGCATAAAAACTAACTTGAGTGCAATAGTTGACTCAAGGAACTTTTGAATAAAAATGTGTTATAAGCAGAAACGAAGATAAATTAAAAGGGGAAATTAAAAATGAGAAAAACAAAGGTGAAGCAGAATCAGGAAAGCAAACTGAAGGCAAAGTAGACAGCTTCTCCATTACCGGACATGCCATTTCCTGAGGAATTACAAGCCAAGGGAGGAGCACCTCAGGAGTGTGGGGGGGAAACTGAGGCTGTAACTAAAGACAGCTGCCAGCCCTCGCCCGCCCGTGCACAGCTCTCAGCATCCCCCACTCTCCTCGTCTCCGCCCTTCCTTTTATTTCTGTCTCCCTTAGAAGACCTCAGGTCCTGTGCAACAGTCTCACAAGGAGAGACGCTCAGAGATTTAGCGAGTGAACGGCCCCTTCATGAGAAGAAGGAGCATCGGCTCCACAGAAGAATCACACACGGGCACTGACGGAGGATGAAGGACCCCAAGGCATACTCCCCCCAGTGGAAATGCCAGGTAGTCATGTTCATTTGGGGACTTTAGGGTACACAACCCCACAGAAGCTCAAGGGACAGTCAACCCAAGTCCCTTATCTCTATCTGAAGTCGGCCTGAGATCCTTCAGGAACGGCCCCTGTGGGCCTAGACGGAACCCACTTTGGCTAAGTAGCTGACTATGTGCATTGATATAAACGAATCTTAGTTTTTCATGAAGGTAATTCTCTACTAGCAGTTTGTACTTTACATCTATGCACGGTTCTCTTGCCTACAGCTAAGCGTTTGTTTGAGGTAAGACACACACTTAAAATCTTTTTATGCACATTTTAGAATTTGGAAGTTTTGATAACAAGTTTGGAACGGATATAAGGAAGCTGAATAACATCGGAACGGTTGTGTTAAAATGTGAATGAGGGAGCACATCTTTAATCCCAGCGCTCAGGAGGGAGAGACAGGTCATACCCTGTGAGGCCAGCCTAGTCTACGCACAGCTCCAGGTCAGCGTGGGGCCTCATAGTCCTGTCTCAAAAATAACAACAGCAAAAACACCCATCACCACCACCACCACAACAAAAAACCCTACAACAACAAATAATTAGAACTCACGCTAGAGACATAGCTTAATGACAAGAACTTGCCCCCGGTGAGCACATCTAAAGGTTCAATGACCAGCACTGTGCAAAAGAACAATGCAAAACCAAAATCTGACAAAGCTCGGACGAAGGCAGGAGTGAGAGATGACACCAGAGATGTCCACAGAAACCGTAATTTTCTGTTGTTTTGTTTGGTTTGTTTTAATAAGGGTTTCTCTGTGTAGTCCTGGCTGTCCTGGAATGTGCTCTATAGACCAGGCTGGCCTCGAACTCAGAGATCCACCCGCCTCCGCCTCCTGAGTGCTGGGATTAAAGGTGTGCGGCACCACCACCCGGCTTGGAAACAGTAATTTTC